AATAAACTATTAATAATTATTAATATTAATTAACCACGTAAATAGGTCAGTATTAGGAGTAAGTATTACTTGTGCCAAGCGAGTCCCAGAAGGTAAGCAGAAGATTGCAGGGAACCAACAGCTCCTTTCAAGGTACATTAAGTTTGTTGATTAGTCTCTGTGATGGGCCAGGGCTAGTCACAAGAAAGCAGTAATTAGCCCATGTAATGACCATGACATTATTGTAGCTTATTAACAACTTGTTTTGCATAGACTGATTTTCATAAGCTGCCAAGTTCTTTCTGCAACTGTGATGGAAAGAAGCTGTGTCCAGCTTCTTGTGTGGGGACACAACCAGTGTCCCCAAACCCAAGACAAACCAAAACACACCACACACAGCACAAAGAGAGTCCTGGTCACCCAGATCTACAACCATAAGTACTGGCAACAGGCAGGTGGTTTTGCTTTGTGACCTTCCGTGCCGTGTTTGCATGGCATTGATTTCTCCTCCTTCCTCCCCCAGGTTGGGGTGAATGATCTGACGCTGGTTAACCTTCATCTGGCCTTGCCACCCTCGGCTGGAGAGAATACCGGGAAGAACCATGACAGCCACAAACTGGCAGCCTTTGCACAGACTTTGCAGGAGACTCTGAAAGGTAGGGGACAGTTTTTACCCTGCCAGATATCACATGCACACTGGGCAGTTTATCTAATCAAAAGGAATTTAAAAAAAAAAAAAAATCTGTCTCAGTGTGAGTTTCATAAATATCCTCATCATCCTCGTGATTGTATTTGCTGGTATTTGTATTTGAATGATACATAGCGTGGCAAATGTGCTTCTCCCTGGCTCATTATCTTACAGTCTTTCCTAATTAATGCAAACAGCACAGGGGATGCTGCTGGGCTTGACAGCATTTTTTCAAATGAAGTTCCTTCTGATTTTACGCTAGTGTAAGAGAAAAAAAAAAAAAAGAAAAGACAGCATGGTTAAAACCACACTTTAAGTGCTTTGTGGAAACAACACCTACCTGATATCAGAACAAAGCTTAATGGCTTTTTTCCAAAAGAAATAGGTTCTATGTATTTATTTTTTGGATAACTGGAAGCACTTTGGAAAACCCAATGCAAATCAGGAGATGGCTGCTAGTGAGAAAAGAGACCAAATCCTGCTTTGGTACCTGGGTGTCATATGCAGGATAATTTTGTTGATTGCAAAAGAGTTGCTTTGGTTTTATACCAGGATGAGGGGCACCAGAATTTAGACTAAACTTGAACAGTGTAACAGGCAGCTGAATTTCTTTACGTCATTTCTGAGAATTTGCTTCTTACTTTGAAGCTTGCAAATTAAATCCAATTTCCTACGAAGCAGAACAGCGCAATTCAGACTCTAAATATTGCTGATCTTGTTAGAGGAATAGAAAAATCTAGCGCTTTGTTTACTGCTTAACAAAGATACGAGAGGGTTATAAGGTTATATCTCTGATGGTTTCCAGCTTGGCCCAGTTTAGCAAGGTTGGTCACTTAGAAGCATGAATATCTCCCTTTTATAACACAAGAGGTATTTGCAGTTTTTGTGTGTGTTCTGTTGTTTTTCCTTTTGAGCTGTGAGAAGTCAGAGCTATTTTTAAGTGCTACTGATTAAGTAGTTGTCCACATACCTTGAAATTGGAAAGGATGAAAGTAAACAAAAAGATTGTGTGTTTAATCCCCAGAGGCTGAACCGAGACACAGATATATGTGCAGCTCTTCTGAAGTCAACCGAGTCTCATTTCCCTTGCGTCTAAATTTAGACTGTCAGCGTTAGGGCTTGTCTTTATTTCATGTTTTTATTTTCATACGGTAGGCACGTTACTGGAGCACGCTTGTTCTTGGCTTAGTCTCTCAGAAAAGAAGAGATTCAGATTCCTGCAAACTTGTGGGGTGCAGGTCTTGTTCCCTAAATGAACGGTGGTGCACAAGTGTCACTTTGAAGTTACCCTGTCAAAATGGATATCATGCTTCAAATTACCACCATCCTCCAATTTCTTCCAAATCAATCCATAAAATCTGGGTAATAAGAATGGGTTTGTTCATGGGTACGGGAGTGAATTTGAGTTTCTGGTCCCATTTTGCTAACAGACCCTTACTCTGTTATCTTTCATTCTTACAAAGAAGCACATGAGCATCTGAGGAAATCTGGCTCTGGGTCCTTGTGGACCAGTATAGACTGTGGGAGGGACCTTTGCAGCAAAAGATGGGCTGGAAAGGGAGCGCTTGTTGCCCAGTCCTGGGGATGAATGAGCCCTGCCTGTCTCAAACTCTTGTTTCCTCCAAAAGAAGATCACAGCACAGCACCAGTAGCATTGTCTCAATTTCCTTTTTTCCCCCCATCTGATTGTACCTGTGGACATCATGACAGCCGCTTTTCAACCAGTTAATCAGCGTTCCCTGCTTTTCCTGCTTAGCGCCAGGCTGCCCAGCCTTTTCCCTGGGGATTCGCAGTCATGGGGAGCCCCAGAAGCTTCTGGGAGAGGAGACCAGAAGCAATCTTTCCATCCCTGATGGCAAACTGGGGTTCAGCTTCTTTACCACACCCCAGCCTGTTCCATCTGTCGACTTTACGCTGCATTTTGATTTTATGCTTCGTTATTCTGCAAGTAAAAATTTCAGTGGGTGAAGAATCCAGTGCCTGCCTTTCCCCACTTACACAGCCAAGCTGAGTGCTGCCTTGGCAATTAAGCAAACATTAGTCCTGAAGGACCTAGACGGTGCAGTCGCATTTCAGGCTTCCTGGTCCTGGCAAGTGAGGGATCTTGGGTTTTTGTGATGAGGTGCGTGCAAAACCACCAGCTCCCAGCAAGCGCTATCGTCCCATTAGACAAGCACTGATTTTATTTTGGGTTCTGATGGAGCTTAAAGTAGCTCAGGTTCAGGTTTGGGCTTTTTGTTTCATTTAAAGGTGGGAAGGCCACTGTCACAACACGTTATAGAATAGTATTTAAACCTCTCCTGGCATTTACAATATGGTTTGTGACTTGCAAAGGGTAGAGAAACCACAAATAGTTTCACTGTTGTTTCATCATCTCTCTGCATCTTAGCAAGCAGCATGGTTTGAATAATTTGGTTTTGTAAGTCAGATGCTATCCATCTCGCTTCTCTCCTGCCTTTTGCCAGTACAAAACAGGAGTGGAATAGATTTTGTTGCTTAACTTGTGCTCCCTCTCCTGGCTGGCTACTTCTACAGCAAGAGCACAAAAGGAGGAGGTTTATCTGTGGGCACTGGGTATGGTGAAGCAATCCATCTGTCCACCCCTTCTCCCTCCACACTTCAGCCCCAGGAGGAAAAAGGCTTACAGAATCTCATCGTTCTCGTCTCTGAAGTCAGCTTCGGGGTAATTTTTGGTGCGTTTGTGCCTCCTTTTAGCATCTTCCTCCTTCTCCAGGACCAAGCTGTAACAGCAACATCTTTGATCAGCCATCGGCGTTCTTGAGTTTGTCTTATCAGACATTTCTGGCAGTGGTTTGAGACGGGCACTGGGACATGTGCGTTGTCCTGCAGCTGTGGAGTGAGGAGAGCAGATGGTGTGGGTATGAAATTAGGGTCCAGAGTTTCCCTTCTCACTTCATTAGGGTTGGAAATAAAATGTAGCTGAGGTCATTTTCTGTTCACATGCAGATAGGATTTTTGATGAGCATTTCATAGAATCATAGAATGGTTTGGATTGGAAAGGACCTTAAAGATCATCTGTTTGCAACCCCCCTGCCACAGGCAGGGACACCTGTATTCAGGCAGTGTCCATGTGCTTTGTGAACTCATCGTCTGCCATCAAGCTTGCAGGCTGCTCCTGGGGCTAGTTCTTTGGGATTTCTTAAATGCTCAGGGTTAGAAGAGCACTGCACTTTTGGGACTCTGGTATATATCAGCATAAGGGTGTGTCCTCCTGGGATCCTCACAAAAGTGTCCTTGACTCTTCCAGAAAAACTATAAAAATATAACATCAGGACAAGTTAAAGCTAATATGTGATTCTTGCAGAAAAATAAAAAAAAAAAGCCTACAAAGTCACAGATTTCTAAAAAACTCTAAGAGCAGAATTGCTTGAGTTTGTCACTATGAGTGAATAGCAAGCAAAGGATGCCAATATAAATGAGATTATATTTAAAAACAAGCATGAAATGTGTACTGGCTGGTTTTCATTGTCATGAAGAGAATAGCCATGAGTAAACAGCCAGTGAAAAAGGCTTTAAACAGCATTTCTTCTGGGAGTCCAGAGTAATGCCAGCTCTGATAGTCAGTATTTGTACTTTTCCTCCTCCCATTTATCCTCTCTCCCTCTTGTACTTACATGACAGATGTCCATTCCTGCCATTCATTTCTATTTTTCCTTCTTTCTAGGAGAAAAAGATGTGATCATCCTCGGAGATTTTAACCAAGCCCCGGACAGCAGTGACCACGACATCCTGAGGAAGGAGAAGTTCCATCACCTGGTCCCTTCCAGCACCTTCACCAACATCAGCACAAAGAACCCACAAGGCTCCAAGTCGCTGGATAACATCTGGATCAGTCGAAGCTTGAAAAAGGTTTTCACAGGTAGAGTTGCTTTTAAGCGAGGTCATGGAACCTTTCGTTAGGTTAGCGGCGTGTGTCAGATTTGGGCAATATTATCTTTTTCTCTGTGATTCTTTTTCCTGCAGGCTACTGGGCTGTTGTACGAGAAGGTCTTACAAACCCCTGGATCCCTGACAACTGGTCGTGGGGTGGGGTGGCTTCAGACCACTGCCCCGTGCTCGCTGAATTTTACCGGGAAAAGGACTGGAACAGGAAGGAGGTGACGCGGAACGGGAACGGGGTGATGGTGGAACGCAACGACTCCCACACTAAGCACGAACGATGACGGGATCTGGAGGGTGCCCCAGGGAGCTGTCGAAGGCTCTATTGACTTGTGGAGCAGGACTGCCTTCTCCTCTCCCTCCTTCCTGGTGTCCTCCCCATGCCTAGGAAGCATCAGCACTTGATTTTGGTGGCCCTGGCTTTGTGCCCCTCCTGGACAGTTTTGGGGTGTGTCACGGCAGTGGAGCGATCTGCAACTTTCTTTCTGGGGACACAGTGCACATTTCCATGCCCTGGAGATTTGGATGAGATTTGTACAGAAAATAAAGTGTACTTTTAATACTGTATGGGATGTGGACACCTCTCCTTCTCTTCCTCTTTTTATGCTCCTGGCAGGGTGCATTTTGCCCCAGAAGGGCTTCCTGGAGCTTGGCTTTGGCTTTTTGTTTAGCATGCAGCATTCAGTGGTGGTTTTTTCCAGCATGCTAGCCTTCAGGAGCTGGGAAACCATCAACTTGTCCTTCTGGAGAACCTGGTCCACCTCTCCAGTGCCCTTTGCTTTGCTCCCAGTTGGGGCTCCTGCAGGAACATCTCTTGTCCTCTGGCTCTGCAACTGGCATCAAAGAGGAGATGTATCCCTGAGTCTTTGTCTAAGAGTCAGTGTTCTGAGCAGGGCTCTGCAGCAGGGAGAAATAGGTCATGCATTGGTTGGAGGTCTGTAGACGAGTCTCCATTAATTTCCTTTCATTCATTCATTCATTCATTCAGTTTCTCCATCTGGAACAGGCAGACCTTCCTGAGCTTTGTTGCTGCTTAAGCCTGGTCCAGGCACCGCAGCAGGGAGTCTGAATAGAGTGTATGGTCATGGTGCATATGGCAGGGATGCGGTCTGCTTCGGAGGAGGTTTTTTTTTGTGTGTGTCCTGGGTTGGGAAGAACTTCAGTCAGCAAGCTGCCAGTGCAGCCCTGGGGATGGAGTGTTAAATTTGGCACCTACATAAATTTTTTCCAAGTAGCAATTAATAAACAGTGACCAAGAAGGGAAACTGTAATAAAGACTGGAAAAAGCAATTCAGCATCTGCAAAAAGAAATAGGTTGAGAGTGAAGGGCACCAAGCTGCCCACTAGCCCAGCCCCTTCTGCTCCAGGCTGCAGGTGACCACATGTTTTGCTGCTGAGTGGAAAGAAGAGCTCTCTGGCTTGATTTACGGGGCTATAAAGGGAAAACTGCTCCTGACAGCGCTGACACACTAAAGGAGATGTTGTAACTGAGATGTTTAGAGCAAAAAAAGTATCATATTCTTGTAGCGTTTTTCTTTACTTTAAATTTCTGAAATATCATTTAATTTCAGGTAGCAACAACTGAATAAATCCACATGCAAACTCACACAGCTCAATATTTCAAACAGCTTTGCTGACTATATGCAAAATGAAACCTGAAGGAAGGCGGAATAGTCTGGATGTGGCTCTCAGACTGAGGGAGGTTTCATTGACATTTCAAGAGGTTAAGTGAATGACCAAGAGTTCAGACCATCAGACCAAAAATGTATCTTTACTTGCTCAGCATCCCCTGTTGAAAATGGGAGGTGAAGGCATTTGTCTCTGGTCATTAAAGAAGCCAGCAGGAGAGCTTGGCTCCAGCTTTCATTCCAGATCCTTGCTGCTGCTTTGCCCTCTTCCACCAGGCATGATTTTGCTGCCCCCCGTTAATCTGAGCAGCACCAGATCCCCCAAGCAACTCTCCCTGCAGGGTCCCTTGCTTTGACTGATGAGTTGCTGATGAGCATGGGCTGTTGGTGGGGGGAACAAGGTGAGTCACCCTCGTAACCCAGGTGTGAGCTGTAGGGAAGGTTAACGAGGCTGGTCTGTAGCCCAGCCTGCTGGGAGGAAGCAGGGAGCTCTGGGAAGGTGATTATTTGGTGAATGGAAGGGTTCCTTGGAGTGAGATGGGTCCTGCAGGGTCAGAGGGAGGAGGAGAGAGGAGTTTGATACCTATGGGTTTATCTCTGCCTTGCATGGAGCATCAGGATGAGGTATGTGCCTCGTTACTTCATGGTGGGAATCAGCAGTGCGTGATGGTGGCTTTTAAAATATTCACAGCCAAATTATTCTCCTTTCCTATTTGCTCTGACCTGTTTGCTTCAGGGCAAAGCCTCTGCTTTGTCCCATGGGCTTGTTAGGGGGTTTTATTTATCTATGTTTTGGCAAACGTCCATTTGGTCACTTGGCTTTGTGGTGGTGTTGCACCAAGCAGTGCTGCAAGCCATCTGAAAAAAGGAGTTGCAATAAATAATTCGGAGAGCTGCTAAAAACCTCCAAGGAGCAAACACAACTAAATGACTGTCCTGGAAACAAACTTCCAAGAACCAGGTCATGGCAGCAGCAGGTTGAAGGACTCCTGGTGCAGCAGGGGTGGGAGCTTGATCACACGAAGTGACCAGCCTTGGGCTTGAGCCCTCGTGGGACTCAGTGCTCAGTGTTCCTAGAAAAGGGTCAGCCCAGGGGATTTCAAGGTTTTCCTAGACATCTAAGTGCCATCTTTTGAGAATGAGCTGTTTTTTGGTTTCAACACTGTTGTCTTGAAGGAGCGTGTTGCTCACGGGCAGGAGCCAGATGCAACAGGAAGCAGAGCTCCTGGGACAGCAGCTGCTGTTCCCTGGGGGCACTTCAGGTCATAAATTCAAGCACCCAGAAAATGGGTGGATATGTCCCATATTTAGGTTCTGAGCTTTTCTGTAGCTGCAGGAAGCAAGGCAAAGCCACGCAAGCATTCCCCAGCCTTTGACTGTCCAGATTTCACACTTTCATACTGAATTTCTAGGTGGGGAAAAACTTCTCAGGAGGCTTGTGTTTGTCAGTCATACATATATATTGAGGACAGTATATAATACAAAGATGCGTGCATTCAAGCAGACCCTTTTCTCATTAGGTTGTAAGATGAGGTTTTTGTTTGGTTGGTTTTTAGGATTTTCTTAAGCCATTTTAACCTCCGTATCTGGAAGTAAAATCTAAGTAGCTAAAAGGACTGGCTCCAGAGTTCCCAGGGGTTACGTGTATGCTGAGGAAATATGTGGCTGGGTGACCCTTTGGTGACCTATCCTTTTCACCATCCGTAACCCTGCCGTGTCGAGATGTTCCCAGCCTGAGGGATGTCCCAAGGTATCTCTTTATTGGCTGCGTGAAAGCACAGGCCTTGTTTAAAAATAAAATGGAATGAGCACAGACCTGAACTGCAATATTGCTCAAACTTTGCCTTAAGGGGTGACCCAAGGGGCACCTGCACTGAGCTCTCAGAGCACTTTCCCACCAGTTTTTCAGGAGCGGCCTTCAAGGAAGCTCTTCCTTCTCCAGACTGTCCCTCCAGACCTCCATCATCCCTGTGCACACTGGTAGACAAGAGGGGCTCCTGTGCAGCTGGGTGGTTACTTTATGTCCCACTTCTCTTATCGTTGGAGGTTTGTGAGCCTGTGGAGCCGGAAAAACTTCAGGCTGAGTTTCCCAAACTAGCTACCAAGGGAGGGGGAATGTAATACAATAGTATTTAGCTATCTTTCGAGGCACATCAGCTAATGACTTTTAGAGTATTTCCAGTGAAAAGAACCCACAACTCTTAAATGTTATCCTTACTTAGACATGAGGAAGCTGAACCTTCTGAGAGAGCAGAGGGAGCCATACCTGATGTAAGTCTTCAACAGACCCTTCATGACTCCAACCCCAAGTCATGTTTTTCAAAACTGCATCAGAAAGCCATCTCCTGCCTGCACAGCTGGGGATGTCCAACCAGCCATAGAGCCAACGACGTCAAAAGAGAGTAACACTCTCACACAACACGATGTAACGCTTCAGTACTCTCACCTCTGTAATTTTTAAATTTATCTTTATTTGTAAAGGTTGTATAAAATGCCTTTTAAAATCGGTCTGGTGAAACAAGGAGACTTTTCCAATGTTGAGCAGGTTTCTGTGCAGGAATAACGTAGAAGTAGTGAGATGCGGATACACAGCAAAGCAACGGAGGCAGATGGGTAAGAAGGCTGTCATCACATCACTGACATAATGAAACTGTGGAGTGACATGAGCTCATGTGCACTGCTGACCCTAAAGCTGTATTACAGAACTTTACTGTCATGACTTAATAACCAGCCTCTTCACAGTGGGGAGGAAAAAAAAACCAGGAAAACTTACAAAAGGTACACTTCAAAATTTGAAACACTTTTATAAAGGAAGAAGGACAAATCTGATGCCAAAACCAGAAGCAGACAGCCTCATCTATTGCTACAGTATTAGATGGACACAGAGCACTTCCAGACCTTGCACAAGGCAAATCTATTTGTAGAATAAGAAAGAAGTTTAACAGCACCTACTGCTTTGTAGAAAATGTGATGCAGGTTTTCAAGTAAATCAAAAAGGCCTGTAGTGGTGTTTAGGGCTACAGAGTAGTAAAAGTCAACTGGCTGTAGGCATGGTATTTTGTGGCAAAGCAGGGTGACTAGCACAGCCTCCTGGTTTCAATGACACATTATGTACACACAGATTATAAGACATTACTAAGGGAGGAGGAGGAAAAGCACTTTGCTTGTGTAGAAGTCACTGGAGGAAGGAAGGGATCTCTCCTTTAAAAAAAAAAAATCAGAATTGTCCCTTTCATAAAGGAGTGTCCCTTTCACATATGTCTGGGTCAGCAAAATGAGCCAGCCTCTTCCGCGGTGTAGCTCAAATGATCTCTGACGGATTTACTCAATTGACTCAACCTCAGCCCAGCGTGGCTTTCTTGATGCTTCTGGCAAAGGAGCTGAAACCTAGAGCACATGGGTGTGTGACTGCAAAAGGTTCCCGTCAGGTTGCTGCAACACCGTGTCTGCTCAGCACAGCTCTCAAACAAAGCTGGGCAGGAGAAGTTACCAGTGATCAAACTGGACAGCCTAAGCCGGGGAGAAAAAGGGCTCTCATTTCAGCATACAGGGGCTGAAAGGCTTTCAGCTCATGAACAATACCGACAATATGAAATCAAGGCTGCTGTGAGCAGTTCTTGGTCCCTGCCTTGAAAATAACCAAATTTAGTAAATTTATGCTTGTTGAGTGCATTTTCTTTTTTGAAGCAGCCAGCCAGCAAGCTGCTGCAAATGCACCTGCAATACTATCTAAAAGGCCACTGCTTTTATGGGTTTATTCAAAAACTTTCAGACTTGTTAGCCAACTGAGAGCTTTTCCTCATAGATTTTCCTATGGGTCAGAAAATGCGTTCTCAAGACTTTGCTCTCATGGCTGGCAATGGTGTAAAATTTCTGTGTGTAAAATAAGGTGGGAGGGTTATTCCATCCATTTCATTAAAGAACAGGATAAGCAGGGAAGGAGGGATACCAGGGCTCAGGTCCACGCAAATGTGGTGTGGAGGAAACCTTGGCTCCATCTGCTCCCCTTAGGTGCAAAACTCAATTTGCCTCAATAATTCTATGATACTCTGGAATCAGAAAATGTAGTTTATGCAGTAAGATCTCCTGCATCATCTAGGCTATTTCTCATGCTATGCCTTACAGGAAAGTGCTTTCTCTTCTTGGCTCTGGATATAGCACCGGCAGTTGAACAGAGGTAAGGTTGCTTCAGAGTGGTGCAGCACTTCCACTGGAACACAGGTTTGGGCACTTGTGAGTCATCTTTTCTTGTTCCCATCTTGTTTCTTGAGCAAGCTCTACAAGGTCAAGTTTGCTGTAGCACGGAGGTATGCTCCAAAAGTTAACTTGACTCTCTGTAGGCTCAGGTGACCCAGAGAAGTGGGTGTTGCCTGTGCTGAAGCATGTCCCTGTGTTCCTGAATTTATGTAAAACACGTAAATCACGAAATCACAGTCCTGCCCAATCCTTCTTTCAAAACACTGTTGTGTTGAACTTCCCAGACATGCCATGTTTGTCCTCAAAGGAGGGAGAACCTTTCTAGAATTCAGCTTCCTGAAACATGCACTATACAGATAAAGATGTGGAACAGTGTGGCTTTTTGAGGGGATGAAGGGGGATAACTTTGCTACCTGCTGACAGTCACTAAAACAGCAATGCCTTTTTTTTTTTTTTTTAAATGCCAAGTCTCCCAGTTAAAAAACCCAAAACTTTTATAGCCTTACAGAGCTTTGATCCTATGGCACAAAGACCTGCTTCTGTGCACTTTTTAAACTTTCTTTTTTCATTGCAATGATGACCAAAGAGGAAAGAGTTACACAGACAGAGATGTAACAGAATCTACAGCAGTTTGATTGCTAGGAACTGTCAAATTTACGACCAAAGACAGGGCAAACACAAGTGAACTAAGGGGGAATTTCTCCTCTTTCTCCTTTCCTCCATCTCTAAACCTGAGTGGGAAAAGATGGTATTTTACAAAAGACAGTCTCAAGCACTGTACCTAGCATACAAAACAGAGTAGGTGATTGGACAGATCACTGCAAAGGAATTCTTAAACCAAATCTTAAAAAATGCACAAACCCTTTAAAAAATAATCCATATACAATCACAATGCAAAAGGAACATAAAGGGGCTTCTTCTGAATTCCACATATTCTGACCACCCTTCCCCCGGCCCCGCCCCACCCCTTGTAAATCCATTTTTGCAAGCTCTGGGAAGTGCTGTTCTACATCCTTGGTTGCACAGAGTAAGTAAATGGTGGGCTGGCACTGTTAATTTATGAGATCCTGGAGCTCCTCATCAGTCAGCTCATTGACTTCCATGATCTTTTCCAAGTGCTCCATATACCGGGCGTGGTCTTGCAAAAAGTGAGGTACTCTCATGTTCTCAATCACAGCTAATCCTTTCAGGCGGTCCACATCCTCATAGGAGATCTGTAAGGAAGGACATTGGTCAATTTCACGCTCTAGTCCTGTTATTTCCTGCTGTGGCTCTAAATTCCCTTGTAAATGAGAAAAGATTTCAGAGCAGGAGGATTTAAAAGCTTGTGCGAATCCTTTGAAAACACAATTAACTGTGTGCCTCAGGTGACGATGAAAAAAAAAAAAGTAATTTTAGCAAATGCTTCCATACTCCTGATTCTGCTTTTGATTCAATCAGTGAATAGACTCTCAAACGTCTTCCAGCTATTACAGGGCCTACTACTTTTCTTTCTAATGAAAGCTGAGATTTTCTCTATAGTCTTATGATTCTACGCGCTAGGACTTCAAGTCTCGAGCTCACAGTAGCTCAAGGTGCTGCGAACGATGGGGCAGAAGAGATGAATGCTTGGGCTGTGCAACAGCTACACAAGCTGCCCTGCGAACTCAGAACAGGGCTCCTTGGGCAGCTAGCCAGTGTGATGAAATTCATGTGGTTGTTGCTTTGTCTACAAGCTGCACGTTCTGGGCACCCTACAGACAGAAGCATATGTGCTGGCAAAAACCACAAGCCTAGCTGTGCTTACTAACTGGCACATCCTATTTCCTCCCAGCAGGCTTGTGTCAGGTGGCTTGAGAGTAGAGCCTGCTCCTTCCAACCTTTTTACCCAATTTCTTCTAAGGAGATGAGCACTGCGCGGTCAGGGCTCCTTGCAAACAGCCTGCCCTCTTAGGAGGTGATGGTTTCTATTTGGAAAAGATTAAATGAGGAGGAATGATACAGCAATGTGTAAGGGGCATGGAAGGTCTCTCTGGAAAGACAGGATTGTGTAATCCAGATTGCTAAACCTGATCCATACAGGTGGTCAGACATGGGGTGCACATCTCGCAAAGAGAATGAATTTGCATCTGAGTACACATGTGCTTTTCTAGCTGCAATGCAATCTCCCAAACAAAGGAAAGAAAAAGGACACTTTCCCCCTCATATTTATGTTCAGGGGTTTCTGCAGCAACCAAGAAAAAAGAATCTGTGATCCAAGGTATGGTTTGAATGGGATGTATTTCCCATTGCAATTGCTAAAAAATGACAAAAGTTGACATTCTGAGATCAAAACAACAATCTCATCTACTGCAGCAACAGGCTATCTTCCTTACTATATGTAATTAAAATCATTGTACTGGTAAAAAAGACTGAGGCTAAAAGAGGCTTACTGATGCTCTTTGTAATGTGTTCACATTCTTGGGAAACACAACAGTAGGTGATATTTTGCTGCTTTTGCTTTTTAAAACTCTGATAGTTACACTATACTGAAGCGCATCCATGCAACATCTGCATTCTCTTTCTTTTCTTTAATATTACTTGCATGTGATTACTATGTGAATGTTTTGCAGTGCTTCCCATATTTGATTCTTCCCTGCAAAGTTTTCAAACTGCTCCTTCTAAAAAGCATCTTTTCTCAGGCTTCAAGTGACTCTCTTAGTCACTTCTAGGTATGTCAAAGAGCTTGCATGTGTTCTGTTTCCATGCACCGCTCTCTTCTACGTGGTAAATAATGTCAGCAGCATCAGGAAGGCACGGCTGCCTCCATCAGCTAGATCTCTAGCACTCAGATGAGAACAGAAAACACAGAAACTTCAGCATGGCTCTGTCTTAAATATATTCACCCAAGAAAGTGGTGCTCTGCTTTTTCAACTCTGTTAAATACCTACTAAAGCACAGAAGCAATTTGTTGTCAGCAGCATTGTTGACTGCTTCCGTTTCCTATTACGTTCATACCGTTACTGTATTTGCGATAAAAATATGCCTACGGTAGGCATGCCGGGAAAGATGAGCTCACTTGTTACAATCCAAGAACACTGAGAATCTTCAAAAGGCAATGTGAATTTTCCCAGTAAATGCTGGGCTTCCTTGTGTTTAAATCCTGTGATTTTTTTCTAACCTGGAAGACATGCCAGCCAAGCTGTATACTCCCTTTGGAACAACCTCATCCTCCTATTCCACCCTAAATAAACAAGTAAGTCACCCTTTACAGTGGTGATAAACTCGTAACAACCACAGGCTAGATCTCAGTGTAAGTTTTGTATTTTTCTTTGCTCACAGAACTGGTTTTTCCTGAGAGTATATGGAGATACTGGAGTGGGACCAGTGAAAGGTCACAAGATGATTAAGGTTCTGGAGCATCTGACATATGAGGAAAGGTTGAGGGAGCTCGGACTGTTCAGCCTGGAGAAGAGAAGGCTCAGGGGGATCTTTTCGGTGTCTATAAACAGGTGATGGGAAGGAATGATGAGGGAGTCAGGCTCTTCTCAGCAGTGCCCACTGGCAGGGCAAGAGGCAATGGGCACCAGTTAAAAATGCACAAAATTCCATCTGAACACAAACCACTTTTCTATGGTGAGAGTGGTAAAACACTGGCGCAGGCTGCCCAGAGAGGTGGTGGAGTCTCCATCCGTGGAGATATTCAAAGGCCAACTGGACACGGTCCTGGGCAACCTCCTCAAGTTGACTCTGCTTAAGCGCAGGAGTTGGACTGGATGATCTCCTTAGAGACTTCAACCTATCTGTGATGCTGAGAGCAGGCACTCCTCTTATACACAAATTTTCAGTTTGATTGCAGAAGGTGTGTGCAATCTTTTGGAGTACAGTTTATCCCTTGATTTTTGAAGTTGTAAAGTCAAGAACTCATAAATTATCATACTGCTAGAATGAAATTGCTTGGAGATCTTTAATACATAGCCTTGCCGTGTGGATTATAGTGGAATCTGTAATTATATGAGGAATGACTTCTTATAGTGGCTTGAGAGTCCTGCAGACTCCCTGAAGAGAGAAAGGGATAAAGCAGTGCAGGAACAGTATGTATTCAGTGGTTCAGCGGGCAGAAGCTGTGTGGAGTCAAGCAGGCTTAAAGCAAAAGAAAGTTTGCAGAGACTTATTTGATGGTGCAATTTTATTTTCAGATCTTCCTAACTTGGTTCAGTTACTTAAATAGCTCTGCTCACCAATATGGGTGTTTCTGACACTAAAGGCAATTCTTAAATGTGGACCAAAACCCCCTATCATAATATGCCACATCCCTTTATCACCCTATGATTGCCAAGGAGGCAGAAATGTTGGAATAACAGCTCTAAATGCAAGCACAACAACAACAATTTGAGTCCTGGTTTCTGGGAGTATGAACCCTGCTTTATGAGCTCTGGAAATTTAGCAATCCAAGGATTTGGTTCAGCAAGTGTGACAAAGTTTCTGCACTTCTTAGTATGATTTTGAGAACAAACAAGCAATGACACTTAGAATGGATGTGAAATATGTTACGTGAATGTAGAAATACAACGTATTGTGGGAAAAAACAAACCCTGATTTTTGAAAAACATTGAGATTAAAAACTTTGTGGTAGAAGGTGATGTGTTAGCATCAAATGGTTAATTTTGTTTACTGTTAGGACCACCACATTATCTAGAACCTGTCCCACTTGGCCAAGGCAGTCTGTTGTACTACAAGTCAAGTAGTTCCCTTTACAGGGAGGAAAGGAAAGTCTGAGAAATATGACCATAAAATCTTAATCTGATAAGCGAGGAATGAGGAAAAGCTGGGAGAAATTTTTAGTACTTTCGTTGTTTAGTTGCCACCTGGCAACTAAGCACGATGCAGCTGCATGCGAGAGAATCATGACAACAAAAGGTAAAACCTCGTGGGCTGAGGCAAGGACAGGGAGGGATCACTCACCACTTATGGTCACGGGGAAAAGAAGACTCAGCTTGGTGAAACACAAAACAATTTAGTTGTTGCTGCTGGCTGGCTCTGCCTCAGCCAGAGGCAGGTCCAACTTGGAGCTGGGGAAACTTCCATCAGCTTCTCGCAGGGGCCATCTCATCCCCGCTATGAAAACCCACCATCCAAACCCAAAACAAGGACCTCAAAATGTTTGTAACTTGCACGGTGCAATACAAGGTGCTGTACAGAACACAGATTTCTAGATCAAAGTGAAATGGAGCACAATGACTCATAGCTCTTTACAGGCAAGCTTGCTGAAATGATAAAACTGTACCCTTTGGTACGAATGTGTCCACTCACCTTTCCAAGGGCTGTCAGAAGATGGAAATCGATGGACTCCCTGTATCTCAGGATTCGGAGGATACCATCCAAATACACCTGATCCTTATTGAAACAGCCTAAAATGAATCAAGATACATTGCACTCTCTCAGGGTTTGTTCAAGGAATATTATCAGAAGTCATTATGAACAGAACAATTTTATTTTAGAAAAATCGATACTTATATCCCAGACTTTGAAACCTTCCCAAAAACTAACTAACTAGTGGGGCTAGTCAGAGAAACCCACTAGCCAGAGAAATAAATCAAACACAGAAGATGGTGTCTGTGAATACCCACAGCAACACTACATCTCTTGAAATAAACATGAAAGGAGGTCAAACTGTGAGTATAAACTTTTTTCACAGTTTTGCAATTTACATTCCCACTTTCAACAAAAGAAAAAAAAATATCCATTACTGATTCAGTTTGAAAGTCTCATGGACGTGCATTTTCAGCCTTGTTTTCAAGAGCAGAAATTCTGCTGCCTCATTTCAGAGGCGCAGAGTCCCTCTTCTTTCTTTTGCAAAGGTTTTACTGTGTGACATGATGAAGGAGCTCTGTGCGTGTTCTGACAACCTCCCCGAAGTACAAAAATAAAAAGAAGACAAATAGATAACCCACCTGGTTGTGATGTGTCAGTCCACCCTCTCTTGGCTCGTACACAGTAATCCCACCTAGTATTGGGGTCCTTAACAAATTTCCCCACGTCCTGGAAAAGCTGGCTGAAGGACATTTGGCTAGCCTGATACACTGTGTAGTAGAGCAGGGCAGCTCTCCAAAGAAAAGGGTCTTTGCGGAACAGGACGCTGTGAATGCTTGCCAGCCCCTCTTCCGTAGGGTTGATTGGTTTTAACCCGTGTTTTCTACGTCCATTCCAGTTACACCAAGGCTGGCTGTTGTTGTTAAAACCCCGAAAATAATGAGTTCCTGAAAAGAAAGGAATATGGGACTTAGAACAGTAGCATCCAATGATTAAAAACCACAAAAACAAAAAAAACCCCACAAAAACAAACAAACAAACAAAAAACAAACAAAAAACCAATATGGAAGGAGTTGCCCATTTCAGAACTCTGAGTTCCCAAATCTGTGGAAAGGAATTTTCAAAAGTGTCTTACATGCTGGATGCCTCTAGCATAGGCTAGGCATTGTAGTGAACAGAAGGAAGGAGAATCAAAGTAAGGGGGCAGAAGTGCTGCCTCTTGAAGGTGATTAAATAGCCCTACTGCAGCCTTGGAAGAAGCTATATCCCCTCACAATGTGAGTAACAGGGGTTCAAGGCTTATTCCTCAGTTGAAATTCAGGCACTAGCCATGTTTAGCCACTTTTGATGTACTTAATTAGAACAGATTCAGCAAAAAGTTTGTAGAAATTTTCCACGGGGCTCGGCAAACCTTGTGTTGTGCAAAATCAAGGCAATATTACACCATTTTAGGGGTCACTGGGTAAATTCTTCACACCTAAAGCATGCTTACATTTGCAAGCTGCGCAGCATAACAAAAGCAGATTTGTAAAGTGAAACGGCTGGTGCTGAGGTTGAATGGTCACATTAGTTTTGTTTCCCCGTTTTTTTTTTTACTTCAGACTCGCTCTAAATTGCTCTCATGAGGAAAATGCCCCTGAGCAGTGACAGCACAGAAGGTATTCCCTGGAGCAGAGCTTCTGGGCGAGCATCCTCTGAAAGGACTATGCTTTGCCTGCTCCAAGATTCCTTTGCCATGTGAACCTCAGCGCAGTAAGTGGGACTCAATTCAAAAGCTCGGTCCTGATCTGACCTAAAATGCTTATATACATGAACCCTAGGAATCCTTAAGTAGCTTATCTTTCTTTTACTGCATGCTGCAGCGATAAATAGGTTTATTAGCACACCTACAGCATAGGTTCTTTAGACAGGAACGTTGCATCCTTCTGTATACTTACAGTGCCTGGCCCATCATTGCAAAATAAGTAAGAACGCATGCAAGTACTCCCCTTTGCCTGAAGAACTGATGTCATGCTCATACCAATTTCATGTCTCAGCATCCCTTCCAGCCAGTGCTCTCGTGCAGTGGAGATATTGATAGTGAGAGTGGGGCGGCCATTCACCACTGTCATTGAGGCTCGAGATAGCAGGTCCTCCGTGAGATGGACCACAATCTGAAGATGAGAGAGTTCAGGCAGCAAAGAGCTCTCTTCTCACTCCTGTTCCTGCTTTTTCCTTTGGCCTGTCTGTTATTTCATGTCTCTTTGGTCCCTTGCCCTTCACAACTCTTCCTTGCTACCAGCAAGACAGACACACATGAGACTGCAAAATTTTCACACTGACTAGACTCGGGGTGGGGAGAAATCATATGCAGAGTAAATCAGAGAAAATTCCATTTATTTGCACTGTGTCTAATTATCTAGGTATTACTGAGAACTGAAAAAAATATCAGATAAAAAGAAGGCTCCAAGGAGACTTAACAGC